CTGACTTTAAACTCACGATCCTCCTTCCTAAGTCTCCCAAGCCACTGGTATTACAGAAGTATGTCAGTGCACCTGGCTAGAGTGAGTCTTAATTACCTAAAAACAAATTATTTCAATTTACTTTAAAACAGAGTAACAATCTCAAATGGGATATATCCTAGGAACAGGAATTGCAAAGGAATTTTAGACTTTTTAATAATCATACTATTAATAATAATATTGGTATTGTTACACTGATGTGATTACATAAAAATATACAAGCAATTTTGTGTTAAAATAATTGTGATCTAAGATGTTTACTATAAGAGAAAAAAGATATAAATATGAAATCAAAGAAGTGAATAATTATATAAATTCGAATTGAAAACATCAGTGTTTCATGATGTTTCATTTTTTTAAGTATATTTTTTAGTTATAGGTGGACACAATAATTTTGTCCTTATGTGATGCTGAGGATCGAACCCAGTGCCTCACACGTGCTAGGCAAGCACTCTACCACTGAGCCACAACCCCAGCCCTCATATTTTTTTAAATATTTTTTAGTTGTAGTTGGACACAATACCTTTATTTTATTTATTTTTATGAGGTGCTGAGGATCAAACCCAGGCCCTCGCATGTGCTAGGCGAGTGCTCTACCGCTGAGCCACAACCCCAGCCCTGATGTTTCATATTTTGACATTTAAATAGTTAATCATACTTTGGGCTGTGGTTGTGGCTCAGTGGTAGAGTACTGGCCTGGCACGTGTGAGACACTGGGTTCGATTCTCAGCACCACATATAAATAGATGAATAAAATAAAGGTCCATCAACAACTAAAAAAAATACATATTAAAAAAAAAAGTTAACCATACGTTCAGGTAACCAATCTAATAAGGGAAAGTTTGGCTTCCGACAGCTATTCCCACAAATGCAGCAGGAATCCCAGACTAGAAGGTCACCATTTTAAGTATGGATGGTGATCTTCAGTGAAGATGTATAATGTCCACTTATGAGCTATTCTTGGCCCTCCCCCAACCAAGCCTAATTAGATCTCTCTCTTTAGCTTGTAGGAAATTAAGGGACAGAAGGACACTATAAAAATGCAAATGGCAAATTCCCAAATTTGAGAAATTCCACAAGACATGTGACCTGACTTCAGTAAATTGCAAAAAAGAAAAAATTGCGGTAGGGACACTATGGATTAAAAGATAAAAGAGAAACTGGGCACAGAGGTACACTCCTGTCATCCTAGCAATTGTGGGACAGAATGTGACAGAATGTGGGAGGCTGAGGCAGGAGGATCAGAAGTTCAAGGCCAGCCTCAGCACTTAGTGAGACCCTGTCTCAGAATAAATTAAAAAAAAAAAAAAAAAAGGGGGGGGGTGTGTCTCAGTGGTAAATTGCCTCTGGGTTAAATTCTCAGTAACCCCCATCCCACCAAATGAGACCTATAGACCAAGTGCATTGTGTGTACCTGGTTTGAATATGGATTTACATAAACCAATCATAAAAAATAACTTATGAGACAAATAGGAGAATATGACCCCTGACTGGATGTCTGATTATATGGAATGAGTGAATATTCGTGTGGGATGACAGTTTTGTAATTAACTTTTTAAAGAACCTTTATCTTTTAGACAGATATGGAAATAATTATTAAATAAAAGGCAGTGTGACTATAATAATGCATTGTATTATTGCTTAGCATAGATGTTAATTGTCCTCACCACAAAAATTGTAAGTTTGTGAGGCAACAGACGTTAACTAGCTTGATTCATAGTGTAAACATATATGAGAGCATCATATCATGTCCTGTACATATATTTGTCAGTTAAAAATAAAATCACGTTAAAATTTAATCCTGAAATTGAGTAGGGGGGTCACTGGATAGGGAAATAGATAGGAAGAGGTTGGTCTATAATTTAAATTGTATGATGGGCACTTGGGGTTCATTATATCATATTCTCTACCTCTGTATATCTTTAAAACCTCCCATAAGAGGATAAAAGGGAAAAGTAGAAGGCAGTGGTCTCCAGCATTTTTCTTCCCACCCTCTACCCAACACTGCCTGTAGTTAGATAAATTTTCCAATTTGAGGGTTGTCTTTTTTGACCTGACTCATAATTTATTTTTGTGAAGTATCCTTTCCACATTTGATATATGAACTTTCCAGTGTGAAATTTTTGTGTTATTTTGTTACCAGGGACTGAAATTGAACCCAGGGGTACTTAACCTCTGAACTACATCCCAGTCCTTTTTGTTTGTTTGTTGTTTTTGATATGATCTCACTACGCTGCTGAGGCTGGCTTTGAACTTGGTCCCTCTCTTAGCCTCCCAAGCCACTGGAATTAGAGGCATGTTCACCATGGCAGTTTCTAGTGTGTACTGTTTTGATGACAAAGAACAACTATGCATGAAAGACCATGGAGAGGAGAGCCTGCCTTAGTAGCCATTTATACCACACACTTGGAGAATTGTGGGACAGAATGTGGCTAATACTTGTGGTTGCCTACTGAATATCCATTTCCCACTTCTTCCTTATAGATAGAACCTCAGTGTTGTTCAGCATGGTGCTCTCCCAGATGGAAAACTACATTTTCCCAGCCCTTTTAGAGCTAGAGATGCTATTATAACACATTTCAGACCAACAAATATAAGAAGGTGTAGTTCTGAAAAAGCTCTTTAATCTGGAGTTGACTGAGCAAATCTTTTTGCTTCTCCCATTTTACCTGGAATATGAATGTAATTCTAGTGATGGAGCATTCTTCTTGTAACCATGAAGCCAAACAGAAACAATGAGAGCCACATTAAGACAGCTAATGGGAAATACAGGGAGTGTCCAGAGTCCTGGTGGTATCACAGGGTCCTAGATGGCCAACTTCTAGACTTCTTGTTCCTTGGGGGGAAAAAAAAAGAAAAAAAAACCCCACAAATCTAGTGGGGTAAGCTACTGTAATTAAATTTCTAAGGGATTGATGGTGTGATGCCCAGGATAGAACCCAGGGCCTCAAATATGCTAGGCAAGCATTCTGCCACTGAGCCACACTCCAGCTGCACATACTCATTGCCAACACTGAGACACTGTGTTAAACTGGTAAGAACAGCATGAACACCTTAAAAGGAGTTTTCAGCATGTCACTCTTAACAATGAACAAAGAATCTCAAGTGACCCTTAGAGCTCAGATTTTGGCCTTTCAATCTCTTGTCCACCAAAAGCTGTCAGGACTCTTGAGGGGGCCACGTCCATATCTGCAGTACAGGAGCCCTAGAACACACTGTGTTCAATGGACACAGTAACTAGGTTCAGGGCCTCCTTGTGGCTTGCTGACAATCCAGGCATTTAAATACTAACTAATAATTACAATAGCAGTTAACTGCATTGAGTAGAGTTGGTAAAAGGTCTTGAAATCATCACACACTCAAAAGATAACAATAAAAGAAACAAAGAAGTAGCTGCAATCGAAAGGGAAACTAAATAATGGATGTTCTTTGTAAGTATACTGTACTAAGGTTCAATAAGAAAAGCAGAAGACATAAGTATATATAATATACCACATATATGATGTGTTACAAGGAGTGGACCTCCCATCCTCATGGGATATGGCTGACAGTTTCTATAAGGATATTGTCTTCACACGTGGTGCTAGAACAGGGCAGGCAAGTGATGTAAATTGAGAGTAAGGACTAGCTATTACCTGGAACCCAGGAGAACAGGCTGAAAACCTTTCCAGGAAAAGCTGTGACCCTTCATCTTGGAATTGAAGGAGACAGCAAAGGATAAGCATTTTCAAACTATTTGTTGTCTCACTCCACCCAGATGACCCATGGATACATGGGAGTTACCACAGCATCTATGCTCTTCCCTAGAGGAGGAAGAACACACTCTGTAATTCCCACATTTATTCTGTGTATCACCTGCTGTCCCCTTGGTGATGAATGTCTAGTCCCAGCTACTTGGGAGGCTGAGACAGGAGAATCACTTGATTCTAGGAGTCAGAGGCCAGCCTGCATCACACTGCCAGAACCAACAACTGTCTCAAGGAAGGAAAGGAAAAAAAAAAAAAATCTATGGAGGAAAAGAAGAAAGCAGGTTGACAGAGGTGAAGGTCCTGGGATCATAAATTCTCGGTTAGGGACAAGATTACCGGAATGGAGCTGGGTCCTGTCACCTGGCAAACCAATCTAGAACCAGCCAATCAAGGGGCCAAATTCTGACGAGCTCTGCCGAGTTCCACAGCCCTTGGCAGAAGGGGCCCTGTTACGCATGGCTGTGCGCGGTAGATGAAGAAAGGTGTTCAGGCCCCCCACAAGGCGGGAGCGCCTGCCCCTCTCGGCCGGGAGGTCTCATGAAAGCGCTCCGCACAGGCCTCGGCACTCTGAGCTGCGGTGCGGGAGGCACTTGGATTCCAACCGCCTCCGGCCCCCAGCTGGCCAGGGCGGGATTTGTCCCGCAGGTAGGGACCTAAGGCAGCAAGAGTCGAATCCCCGCCGCGCCTCTGCTCCAACCCGTCCTGGCCATCCTCTGCGCATCAGGAGCGCAGCCTCCGACACGCGCCAAGAAGCCCGCGACGCCAGCAGCAGAGGCCCGGAGCAGCGAGAGGCCGAGCCCCACCTCACGGCTCGCGCCCCAGGCGGGCGGAGATCCCAACTCAGGGCCTCTGCCAGACAACTTCCGCGCGCTTCCACAAGCCGGCCAGGAGGGGTCTGAGGAAGAGCGTTCCCGGCGGCACGGACAGCTAGGGCAAGGTTAGGGGAAGGAGTGGGATCCGCTGACACAGGCGGAGCAGTCAGTCCTCCAGCCGCCGGAAGTGCGGGCTGTGGGCGCGGCCCTGGGCAGCACCGTGAGCCTCAGCGGTTCCGCAGCCCCGCCCCAGGGTCCTCGGGGGCGGGGCCAGGCAAAAGGCGAAACCAGCGGTCGCGCTGGCCAGGCGTCGCGCTCCACGATTGGTGGTCCTGGGGCAGGGGGCGGGGACTGGAGGGGCGACCGGCATAGGATTGGCGGCTGCGCAGACGGGGCGGCACGGCCCCTTTGTCTGAGGGCGCTGCGGGTGGCCGGCGGTCGCGCAAGGGTGCGGGGACGGTGAGTGGGGGCGCCGGTCGGTACCGGGTAGGACCCTCTTCCCCGTGGACACGTGAGCTGGTGGTCCTCACACTGGTGCTGGCCCCGCGGCGGCCCTCACGGACCAAGGCCGCGCCCTCCCCCCTGCCCAGTCCCCCGGCTCGCCACGCCCCCCGCCCCTCCCTCGGGACGCCCGGACCCTCTTCCCTCCCCTCCCCTTCCCATCCCCCTCCGTGGGACCCTCCGGGCCCTCTCCCCTTCCCCCAGCCTGGGACCCGCTCCGTCCCTGGCCCCTCACCCTGGGAACCTCTCCACCGTGGGCGCAGCGCCTCGGCAGCCCTAGTCCGAGTCGTGGATCGGCGGGCGAGATCTTAGAGAGAATGGGGGAGGGGGCTCCCCCAAAACTCGGAAACGGTGCGGCGTTTTGTTTGTTTGAGAGGACCGTGTGTCGCTGTGTTGCCTCGAATTCCTGAGGCCAGGCGTCCTCCTGCCTCAGCCCCCGGAATAGCTGGGACCACAGGTGCCGCCCCAACTCCGGGCTAGAAACCAGAGGTTTACGGGTTCTGTGTGCGCCTGAGTAACCGTGCGTACTGCCGCGCCCCACCTGGGGGCCGCGAGCCTTAGCGGAAACGCCTTCGGGTCGAAGCTAGCACGAGCCAAATGTGCTGCTTTCCGAATTTCTAACCCCCCACAACTGTTTTATTTAACCGATGAGGTGTTTTCACTATTACTTTGTAAGAGCTCTATATTAATGGATGAGACTGATTTTTTGGTAACAAAACATTTTATTTTTGGCATTTAATTTATGTAATAGAAAAGGAATGCAATAATTTTTTATGCAAGCATATTAGAAAAATAAACCCTTCTCCCCAGCACCCTGCCAGTATACGCAGAGGTGGCAATGGAGAGTTTCGTGCGTACCCTTCCCAAATATGTGGGTGCAAGCTGCCGGCTGAAGAGCCCTCACCCTTTTCTGTGGCAACTGGAAGCGGAGCTCGGAAGCCCTACTGCGCTCTACTGCGCTCGCCTCCTGCGGGGTGCTTCCGGCTCTCGCAGTTGGGATCTGTTTTGGACATCCCTTGCGTCGGCATTACGCACTGGGGCTTTTCTGGGCGACCGGGGTAAGAGGAGTGAGACTCAAGCCCTGTTCCCTCCCATTATGGGGGCCTGTTCCTGCATTCTTGCTGTGGGGACTTTGACTGTTAGTGGTGAGGTTGAGGTTGCTTCAATTGTTTTTTTAGCCATTTGTATTTCCATTGTGATTTGCTACTTCATATTTTTTTTTTTCAACTTGTCTTACAAGTTGAAAACGCACCCCTGGTGTCTTTTAACTACAATAAAGGTTTTTTCTGGTTTTAGTGGTGGCGGGGTTGTTTTTGAGGTAGAAGATTTTAAGTTTGTAATGATCATATATCTTTAAGACTTTGGGGCTTTGTACCATGTTTTAAAGGCCTTTTCCTACTCCAAGATTATTTTTTAAATAATCTCTTGTTTTTTCCCTGGTACTAGTAAAATGTGAAATACAGTCGTTTTGCGTTTGTTTTGTGTTTTGTTTTTTGTTTGTTTTTTAATTTTAGGTGTCGGTCAGCTTGGAATCTAACTTCAATTGTATCTTTCAATTGATTTGAAAAACCACCTTTGTCATGTACCAAATTCTTCCCTGTGTTTGGGCCATTTCTGGAGTTTCTGGTGGCTTTGATGTGCATAGGTTTTGGTTTAGAAGCTGCAAATCTGTTGGTCTCTGCACCCCAATTATTTTGCTTAAAAAGACCCTTCCCTCAGAAAATAATAAATATTTTTCTTTATTCTTATTCAAGTTCTTTTATGAAGTAGTTGTAAAATTTTAACTCTTACTCATTTGTTAGATTTTCAGTAGATGATGTGATTTTTTTTTTTCTGTTTCTTATTTTTAAAATTTCTTTGTCTTTACTTCGTGGTAGTTTGTTGAATATTTTGAAATTTTTTATTTTATTTTTTTCCCAAAATACTTAACCTGGGGCTGGGGATGTGGCACGCCTGGCATGCGTGCGCCCCGGGTTCGATCCTCAGCACTACATGCAAACAAAGATGTTGTGTCCACCGAAAACTAAAAAATAAATAAATAAATATTTAAAAAAAAAAAAAAAATACTTAACCTGTCATCCTAGCACCTTTAGTGAATTGTCTTTCCTCCAGCAGTTTGAGTCTCTTCACCACACTTACACTTGCTTTGCTCTGTTCCTAAGCTGCCCATTCTCACTGAGGCCCTTGTGGCTGTTTTCACTGTGGCCCTGTGACACGTCTGGCTCCTTCCTCAGTTGGTGAACCCTCTTCGACTACCTTCACCCCCATGAGAAGCATGTCAGCTTGTTAATCCAGTGCAGAGAGTAACATCACTGCAGTTTGTCCAGTCTTTATTTTTGAGACCTGTCATGTGTGCCTTTCAGATTGTCTTTTATTGTTTGTGAGGTTTTATAGTTTTCTTCATACAGATCCTGCACTTTGGGGGCTTTGGTGGTACTAGGGATTGAAACCAGGGACACCCTGTCACTGAACCACATCCCCCAGCCCTGTTTATTTTTTAGTTTGAGACAAGATCTCACAGTCTCACTAAGTTGCTGAGGCTCGCTTTGAACTTGCCATCCTCCTGCCTCATCCTTCCAAGACACTAGGATTAGAGACGTACACCATTTTGCCAGGCCTGAATTTGCACATTTCTAAAATGTAAGCTTGTTTCTTGTTGATATTTGAGAATTGAATCTGGTTTTTTCCTTTTTTTTTTTTTTTAAACAAGGTGTCATTGGTATATAGGAAAGCTACCAGTTTGGATTCATCACTCTGATCATATAATCTGGGAAGGTTGCAGGGATTGTGCTTAGCAGTGTTTTACTTTGCACTCACAGGTGACTTAGAAGCTGCCTCATCAGAAGGCGCCTTCACCTTGGAGGGCCAGGGCATGGAGATAAAGAGAACTGTTGCAAGAAGCCCAGGGAGTGAGGAAAGGAGGGTGGTAGCTCTAGGGGAGATCCTGGCAGCTTACTCCAGACTAGGAGACTGGGAATGTGTCTGTCCCAGCCTGCAACTGTGAACAGGGTCCTCTGGAAGGACAGGTACATGCTCACTCCGTCACATCAAGACCATCAAGAATTCCAAAAAGAATCACTGATTTCTAGGCTTAGTTTACAAAACAGATGTATATGTGTCTATGCAGACCTCACATTCTGTGCTCTTTGTGCTATGGCGGTCCTACCTTAGTTCTTGTGCTTGCAATCCTGCCTGGCTATGATCTCAGGGGCCAGATCCCTTCCAGGCAGAGTCTCATTGTAGTATGGCTCCTTCCATTTCTCCTTATGTCATCATTGCTGCTGGGAGGTTTTGTTTTGGGTTATTGCCTATGAACATTTCCAAAAGCAAGATTCCTGAATCTGCAGAATGAACCCTTTTTGCTGCCATGCTCCTTTTGGCAAGTGAGTGTGTAGGAACTTTGCTTAGCTGTGACCCCATGTGGGTGCCAACAGCACTGTGCATGGGTGCTGTTTGTATTTGCTCCATATTTAGGTAGTCACAAAGCACAATCATAGCCTCCTCAGACTCCATTTCTATATTCTGTGGCAGTGACTTCCATTTTGTCCCAGTCTCTTATCCTGGCATCTTTACAGGACTTTTTAAGAGCCAGCACTTTAATATTTAAAAAAAATATACACACCGTGCTTCTTTTCTGTCTGAACTCCTATGTTGTTCTCAAAGAGCAAAGCCTGGAATTGGGCCTGGGGATCCTTGGGGGAAACCATGCAGTGGCACACACCTGTGATTCCCCGCGACTTGGGAGACTGAGGCAGGAGGACCACAAGGTCAAAGTCAGCCTCAACAACTTAAAGAGCCCTGTGTCAAAATTTTTAAAAGGCTGGGGATGTGGCTCCATGGTAGAATCCCTTGGGTTCAATCCTAAGTATAAAAAAAGAAAAAGTTTTTGGTGACCCCAGTAGCTCCACTTCCCTGCCTCATACGTGAGCTTTAGGTTGAGGCATAGTGTTCACCCATCCTGGCGTCCTGTCACAGGCATATTACAGGAAACCCAGACTTTTATCTGCCAGTGCAGAAGTAAATAAAAATGGAAAATTAGGTAGTGCCAATTTTTAAATTCATTGTACTCAATTTTATGACAATACAGCCATATGTGATATGCTTTCTTTGTGTTATGCTTTCTTTTTTTTTAACTTGGCAGTATGTGTAGTTCATCCATACCACAGTATATGATCCTACCCTCTGATCTAAGGCTCGCTCAGCTAGCCATCTTTTCCCTCCCTCCTGGTCACACACATATTGGCAACCTAGTATGTCTTTCAGTTTTCCTTCTGTTAATCTCTTTGAATCAGATAATATCATTATCTGATATTGTCTGTAAGGCCCTGAGGGTGTCATCTCCCAGCTTTGCAAGGGGGAGCTGCAGTGCCACAGACCCAGAGTATGGCAAGCAGGCTGGCCCCAGGTCCTGTGACACACACACACACCCTTCTCGGACTTGGGTCATGGTATACAAAATAAGAGCATCATCCACATGTTATCCCACCCCATATTTTCACTCTTAGGTAGCCCTCACAGTATAAATCATTTGGCAGGTGCCAACCGTAGTGACATTTGCTGCAACACCATTGTTGTATCTGCTCTTGCTTGTGTCCATCCCCCTAGGGTACCTGTTCTCTCAGGGCCTGTCTGATTGGCTTAGAGATGTAGGTGGCCTTCTTGAGAGAGAATATGAGAAATTCTGCATCACCATCTCTGCCAGCAGAGGACGTACACTCCTTACCTGTTGCTGTGCCAAAAGTTTTAAATTGTAATCTCTTTGCTCCTGTAATTTCATTAATTTCTTTAGCAAATGTTCCACCATGGACTACTCTGCTGGGCCTCCCTCTGGTTTGTTGGTACAGCAGGAAGGGGTGGTGTGAAAGCTGAGTGGGATGTTGGCCTCCAGGAGGTGAAGAGGCTGCAGCTCCCTGAAGAAGGTTGTAAAATTCAGAATAGCTTCCTGGGAGCTGAACTGGGGACTGGAAGGACTTCTGAGCAGAAGACGATCATAGTATTTCCCTGAGAAGGCAGATGGAGTGGCTAGGCAGATATGGTGTTGGGAGCATAAGACTGCTCAGGGGTGATCACAGGGCAGTGTGGTCAGGTTGAGTGAGGATGGTAGACTAGGAGTTGGTGTGAGAGAATGAAGAGGGGAGGAGGCTGTATAGACACGCCTGGATAGAAGGGGGTAGGTGCTGCACTCTGGATCTGTGGTGCTGTGGCTCTCCACTTAGTATTGGATGTTAAATGTCTGTGATGCTACGAGATGTCCATGTGGAGATGTTGAATTGGAGGGAATGGTGATAGCCAGCTCAGAGGCACCAAGAGGCACCAGAGGCTGGATCTCCTGGGCTCAACATCATGGCTCGTGGGATAACCATGGTTGGCACCAGATTTACAGGGAAACTGGTATCATCCACCAGCACAGGACGCAAGCAGGAATGGTAACTGGCCTGCCTCAAAGCCTTGTCATTGTCACATAAGCAGCATCTCCTGTGTCAGGCTTTCAGACCTGGAGACCTGCTGGGAGCCCCCAAATGTGGTTCCTCTAGTTGTTCATCATTGGTCCTTCACCCAGGTGTAGTCAGGGCTGTAGTGTGACTTGGCAAGCTGACTTCTGCCAGGTTTCTAGGGAACCAAATCTGAGCATTTACTGAAGGCCAAATTCTCATGCATACCTAGTGAACGAGGAAGGGGGTGATCGAGGGATGCATTTGAGAAGGCCCCATTGAGAGAGTGGTACCCAAGAGACCAGTTGTGTCCCTGCTGACAACAGTAAACAAGGACTTGGCCACATAGAGATCAAAGGAGACACTGACCAGGGCTGTTTGGGATGGCAGAAGCTAAGACTGTAAAGACTGCTCCTCTGAAGAGATGAAGGGAATGGAGACCACTTGGGGAGGGTCTACTCCCATGGGAGGTAGCTAGATAAGGGTGTGGTCCCTGGGAGGGTAGTTAAATGACAAGAGATGCAGATCTCTCCTGGTGCATGATGTCATGGAAACAACAGGTATGGTGGGAGACAAGGTGTGCTACTCTACTAAAGGACAGGCAGGTGTCAGGAAAGTGAGCCAGAAGGGAGGAAGCAGAGCAGTGAGGCAGGTTTATGTTCACACACCATCTTTACCTAATCCAGAGTTGGTTAGTGCATATCCCATCTGGAGATACATAAGTTACTAAATTAACCATGGGTTCCCACTGAACTGAAATTTACTGCTTATCTGTGTGTGTGTGTTTTTGTTTTTTTTTTTTTGTTGGTTTATTTGGTACCAGGAATTGAATGAACCCAGGGGTGCTTAACTACAGAGCTATACCCCCACCCCTTTTATGTTTTATTTTGAGACAAGGCTTCACTGAGTTGTTGAGGCTGACTTTGAACTTGTTATCCTCCTGCCTCAGCCTCCAGAGCCTCTGAGATTATAGAATGCACCACCACACCCATGCTTGTAGTCTTTTAAATCCATGCTTCATGTGTTTGGCTCCATCTGTCCCTTATAGGCAACTCTCTGGTTTGACTGCAGCAGCTTCTTCACTGGCTGGTACTTGGTTCATTGGGTACCCACTACATACATACTTCCCCACTCTTTTGAATTCCATTCTTGCCTATTTTCCAATATATGTTCATGTGAATTCTAAGGCAGTTTTATGCAGAGACTCCTTTGGGAATTCTAAGTAGGATTGCATTGCACTTGCACCCACAGAAACATGAGCTTTTGGAGAACCTCAGAATAGGGAGATTGGGAATCAGCCTGTGTCTCTACTTGTTTCCTTGTCCTGTGCCTCAGAGGCAGTAGTTGCTAGTTTATTGTGTATACAGAGATGTGTGTATATTGGACATTTCATAAAGAAAACAGGGAATGATCACCCTTGACCTCCACCCCAGGTGTCTTGAGGAGACCTATTTGTCATGGTGCCCAGCTAAGCCAGTGGCAGATGCTTGAAAGGATTGACTGGGGTTTTTTGTTGGTTTTGTTTCTTGGTACTAAGGACTGAACTCAGAGACTCAATCTCCACTGAACTACCTCCCAGCCGTCTTTATTTTATTTAGAGAGAGACAGGGTCTTGCTAAGTTGATGAGGTTGGCCTCAAACATGCAGTCCTCCTACCTCAGCCTCTGTGTGGCTGGGGCCACAAGTGTGGGGCACTGTTAATTATGCTCTTATATCACTTTTTAAAAAATATTTTTAGTTGTAGATGGACATGATATCTTTATTTTTTTTTTTTTTTTGGTGCTGAGAATTGAACCTAGTGCCTCACACGTGCTAGGCAAGTGCTCTGCCACTGAGCCAAAATCCAGCCCCTGTACCATGTTTTCAGTGTGTGCTTTGCCTTTGTCACAGGCTAGGCTCTGAGTCACTGTCACAGACCTCCCTCAATGCTCCAGAAGATGACCCATCCTCTTTTGGACCAGCTGTGTCAGGAGACCTCTCAGTCCTTGCTTTCCCTAGCCTACTGGGTTATGTTGGACACTTGTGTTTATTTTGTCCTCTTGCATCCCCAGCACCTACCCAGCCTCAGGCCTCTTCTCATTGATGATGAAGCCTCCCCTAGTCTCAGACTAGATCCTGGGGGTCACTCTGGACTCAGTTCGCTCCGAACCACCACTGCTCATGTTTCTGCTTCCAACACCCTGGCCAAGCCATGAGGTTGAGAGCCCCTACCTTATTGGAGCACCAAGACCACCAAAGGATGTCTAGGAGTGACTGTGGATCTGTGGGTTGGGGTCTCCACAGGAGTGAGGGCCTTGAGCAAGACCACCTAGTCCCACACTGGTGGCCATCCCCCTCCTTGTTGGAAGGGTGCTTGGGGAGGCAGCCTAGCCTAATGCTTGTAAACCCACATAGCGCATGTACCTTGGGTGTAGAACATGCAGGAGCCCTGGTGAGCTGGCATCCTCTGGCTCAGCAGCATAGTCCAGAGTCCATATGTGGTCATGGTCCAGAGTCCTCACTGGCTCCCCTGCACAGGTTTGACCATGAGGACTCCCAGGGGCCTGGGTAATGAAGGTTTGGGACCCTGAGCCCTTGGAGGGCATCAGGTACTCTTTATCTGGAGCTCAGAGACCCTTGGCACTTCCTAACTAGGATTTTCTGGACCCATAGCCAGAGAGCCCTGCTCCGGCTAGGAAGGCCCAGGAACCATGTGTTTGCTCAGGGCTTGGACAGGTTCCTGCACTGTAGGATCAGAGTTCTGGCACGGAAGTGTGTGGAACAGCAGGCCTGTGGTGGGTGCTGCTCCTTGGGTCTCACCTCAGCATGCTCTTCTCTGGCTCTGCATGAGGACCAAGGACCCCTGGGGCTCCCCGCAGGAAGTCAGGATCTGTCAGAGGCAAGGCCTGGCCCCTCACATGTTCCCTCCCCTTCCACAGCCCCACAGGAACCTCCAATTTCTGTCATCCTCAGAGGCCCAAGAAACAAAGTGATGGCAACTGCCAGACTCCTGCCACTGCCAGCAGAACATCAGGTAAATTGTCCTTAAGGCCTGTGTAGTATCCCTGGCCACAGCCCCTGTGGTTTCTTCCATGCCCAGGGACCCTGTGGCAGCCTGAGTATCACTGCATCCCCAGTACTATGGTCTCTTCTTATGAACCCCACCCTTGGCTCACAGGGTCCCACACTCAGCTGCCTGGGCATGTTCCCACAACCCCATCCTAGACATCAAGATTTGGTCTTACTCCAAGAACTCCTGTTGTTCCAGGCTAAGGTGACCTTCGAGGATGTAGCTGTGCTCCTCTCTCAGGAGGAATGGGATCGTCTGGGCCCTGCGCAGCGGGGCCTCTACCGAAACGTAATGATGGAGACCTACGGAAACGTGGTCTCACTGGGTAAGTCCACCCACATGCTTAATCTGTGTGTTTCTGTGTGAGATCGGTGGGGGCTCAGAGCAAGCTGGTCCTGGAGGCTCACCCACCTCCAGTGTGCTCCGCTGCAGCAGGAGGTCAGTCCTGTCTGTCTTCATGTCCCCAAAGGTGGCATAGGTTGGGTGGGAGTGTATTTGGGTAGATGTTGTATAAACAAAAGGCTTCCTTCCCTCGAGCAGGACTTCCAGGATCCAAGCCCAATGTCATCTCCCAGCTGGAACGAGGGGAAGACCCGTGGGTCCTGGACGGACAGGGGGCTGAGAGCCAGGGCTTGGGGAATGGCCACTCAGGTAAGTGAGGGGAGCTGGCCCTTCTTTCATTGAAGGCTGGGCCTAGGGGTTATAATGGCCTGTCAGGCCTCACAAGTAGGAGTTACTGGACTGGGTAGCAGTCCATGGCAGGAAGTAGGTGTAGTGGTGAATCTAAACCTGGTGGGTACAGCAGGGCTCAACCAGGTAGAGACAGAATCAGGCCGTGGATGAATTTTTGTCCCTGCTCAGAGAGAAGAACTTGTTAGCCAAGGCTGGTTGTGATAGGGCTTTCAGGTTTTGACGATCGCCTGGTTGTCGTGGACGTCTCTCCACCCTGACACTCACAGTGCAGGACTGAAGCTTGCTATTAGACCTCAGGTGCCAGGTGAAAGAGCCCATTCCCACACTCTGTGTGTAATAAGGTGGAATAAAAACAACAAAACTGTGATAATTAGAAAGGAGAAAGAAAAGTGTCATTTGAAGTTTCTGCGATTTCCAAATTAGAAAAATTAGATAAGAGTTCACAAGAGAAACGTGATAGTATTACTGGTTACAAAATCATTTGTGTTTCTATTCATCAGCAACAAACAAAAACGTACTTTTTAAGAAATATTTTTTAGTTGTCAATGGACCTTTATTTTATGTATTTATATGCAGTGCTAAGAATCGAACCTAATGCCTCACACAGGCTAGGCAAGCACTCTACCACTAAGCCACAACCCCAGCCCCAAAAACATAATTTTTACAACAAAAATATTTATAATAGCATCAGAAATGTGAAGTATCCTGGAAATAATCTAACAAAAGATATGCTAGACATTTAAGGGGAAAATTGTAAAAGTAAAAATGGAGCCCAGTTTGGTGGCCCAGGCCTGTGATCCCAGCAACTCAGGAGGCTAAGGCAGGAGGATCGCAAGTTGGAGGCCATTCTGAACAACTTAGCAAGACACTGTTTCTAAATAAAAAAGGGATGTGGATACATCTTAGAGCACCCCTGGGTTCTATCTCCAGCACTGGAATGAATGAATGAATGAAAGATACAGATGGAGACAGGTCTAGACTTAAAACTGTGCAAGATGGCATCTGAGTCTTGTGAAAACCTCAGTCAGCATGTCCTGGTAGAATGTGCCCCTCTTGAGATGGGAAGGTTGGCACATAGTTGATCGACTTCAGCATTTCAGATGTGGCCATTTTCCCCTTGAAAATTTGCTCCTTGCTTTTTTAAAGCTAGTGGACAGGACCCCAGTATTCCACACAATCTTATGAACCTGCAAAATCAAACATCCTCAGGGAGCAGTGGGTATGACAACTTCAGAGGAATTTAATTTACCAGTGACTGTGAACAAGAGGACACAATATTATGTCACAGAAATCTTGCACGAAACTTGTTTTCTTGAGACAGGCTTTCCCTATGTTGTCCGGGCGGGTCTCGAACTCTGGGCTCAAGCAATCCTCCTGCTTTGGCTTCTAAGTAGCTAGAACTACAGGCTTGTGCCACCATGCCCAACAGTGCACAGAACTTCACATTGTTTGGTAACTGCTCCCACAGAAGGCAAGAAAACACAGGTTATTTTGCAGCCACTGCCAAACCAAACTGTTGTCCGTGGAGGTGCCTGATGGAGACCTTTGACCCTTTTTAAGCAGTCTTTGAGTTTAATGGCTGAAAAAAACTTAAGATTGTCCAAGAGCACAGAAGCACCTGGTTACTCTGCCTCTGGCCCAGGCCAGAGAGGAGGATGAGACTGAGTCACTTCTAGAGAGCAATGGGCATAGAAGCAGAAGCTACATGCCCCTGCTGGTTTTCACTTACTGTTTTAACAGCAGTGGGAATATTTTTCACTTTTGAAGGAATGTTTTGTTGTCAGCTCGTCTCCCTGTTCCTTTTACAGACAACCTCAAATGTGATCACACTGCAGTCTGTGTGCAGGACAGCTTATCTTGTCCGTGGGGTAAGTGCATGTGTGATCTTTTTAATACAGTACAGTTCTTGAGGTATTAATGTTTATGTGTTACCAGATGTGACAGGATTCCCCAGGGTGCTGTGGAGTTTGTTAAGACAACTCACACAAGGAAGAGTGTCTCCTAATCAAGCATTATTTGTTTCAGTAGAATCTCTTTTTTCCCCTTTATGTATTTTGTCACACTGAAAACATAGTTTCCTGCTCTACACTTAAAACCACAACTAGAGCCACCATTCTGAAAGGGAGTATGGTTGGCTCTGTGCAAGGTACAGGGCAGGGGCCACTATCACCAGCCTTCACACCGTGACTCTGCCCCACAAGAAGTCACATGATACTTTTAAGCCATGGCTGATTGAGACTCCCCCCCAGTTATTGTATTATGAAAGTCATCTCATTTACCTTGTTACTCTGGCATCAGAGTCCACCAGAGGTGCTCTGGCAACAGAAGCCACCCATTCAGGAAAGCAAATAATAGAGCAGTAAATTTTTTTGGTAAAATTTTTATTAGTTATTGACAGACCTTTTATTCATTTATTTGTTTATATGTGGTGCTGAGAATCGAACCCAGTGCCTCATACATGCTAGGCAAGCACCAGTACCACTGAGTCACAACCCCAGCCTCCCCCACCCCCAGCAGTGATACTTTAATGCAAGTAACTGATTCTTTCTTTGGCCTACAGACTTGTATTTTATAAAGATGGGCCTTGGGGGGTGGGGGGGTTGATAAAACTAGTCTTGTTAGTTTAAAGAACATATAGCATAACTTTTTTTTTTTTAGTATATATTTTTTTTAGTTGTAGATGGACACAATATCTTTATTTTTATTTGTTTATTTTTATGTGGTGCTGAGTATCGAACCTAAGGCCTCACGCTGCGAGGCAAGCACTCTACCAGTGAGCTACAACCCCAGCCCTAGCTTAACTTTTTTTTTTTTTTTTTAGTTGTAGTTGAACACAATACCTTTATTTTATTTATTTTTATGTGGTGCTAAGGCTCGAACCCAGGGCTTCACACATGCTAGGTGAGCGCTCTACCGCTGAGCCATGACCCCAGCCCCCCCAGCATAACTTATTAAAAAATAAAATTCGTTAAAAATCTTATTTATTACCCAACAGCTTAGGAGGCTGAAGCAGGAAGATCACAAGTTCAAAGCCAGCCTTAGCAACTTAGCAAGGCCCTGTCTCAAAATAAAAAGGGCTGGGGATTTTGCTGATTGGGATTTTGCTGGGTTCAATTGCTGGCACCAAAAAAAAAAAAAAAAAAAAAAAAAAAAAATCTTAAATAGATGACTGTAAATTTAGATTTTTTTTTAATGAAGATCCTATTAAATCCTCAGTTTTAGTTTATAAATGCGGTATACACTTACACAAATTGCTCTGAAGGAAACTTAAAAAAAGATATGGAAATACTCAATAAGAAAAGTGGAAGCAACACTTGAACAAGTTCCTGTTTGTTTTTAGAATAAGGAAAAATGTTTTATTGCTTTGCTGGCAAAGGAGAAACACAGGGACTCCTGTCCCAGAGGCTGTGATTCTTTTTTTTTTTGGTACGGGGATTGAATCCAGGGATGCTTAACTACTGAGCCACATTCTCAACCCTTTTAACTTTTTTTTGGCACAGGGGATTGAACTCAGGGCACTCAACCACTAGCCCACATCCCCAGCCCTATTTTGTATTTTATTTAGAGACAGGGTCTCACTGAGTTGCTTAGTGCCTCACCTTTGTTGAAGCTGGCTGTGCCACCAAGCCCAGTTAACTTTTTTTGAGACAGGGTCTCAGTAAGTTGCTTAGGGCCTCGCTAAGTTGCTGAAGCTGGCCTTGAACTTAAGATCCTCCTGCCTCAAGTCTCCTGGGCTGCTGGGATTATAGATGTACACCACTGCCCCCACTAGTTTGGCATTATCTAATGGAGTTGAAATATGAATCCTTATGTTCCCCACACCCAACCCTGATATATAATAAGTACTAAGAAACAAACAAGAATCTTTGTAGAAGCATGCTTCATGATGGAAGACTGAAAATCACTCAGATGTCCATCAACAGTAGAATAGAAAAATTTGACATTTAAATATAATGAAATATACCACAGTGAAAATGATTAAATAACTGAATAAAAGTGAAAACACAACATCAAAATTTGTGATATTCTGCTAATACAGTACTTAGCTCTTTTATGATCTATGTTAGAAAAGTTAAAAGTTGCTAAGTCTAAAACAGAATGATTCAGGGCTGGGGATGTGGCTCAAGCGGTAGCGCGCTCGCCTGGCATGCGTGCGGCCCGGGTTCGATCCTCAGCACCACATACAAACAAAGATGTTGTGTCCACAGAAGACTAAAAAATAATTATTAAAAAAAAAAAAAAACAGAATGATTCAGTTATTTTTGAGGCAGCTGTTTGTTCAGGCTGGACTTGAACTCAGAATTCTTCAGCCTTTGCCTCCTGAGTAGCTGGGATGACAGATGTGATGTTTTTTGTTTTGGGACAGGCTTTTGCCATGTTAGACTAGGCTAGTCTCAATCACCTGGGTTTGAGTGATCCTGCCACCTTAGCTCTTGAATAGCTGGAACTACAAGGGCATGCCATTGTGCCCAGCTCATAATGGAACCATTTGAATAATAAAATAAATAACAGGTTAGCCAGGCACGGTGGCACACAACCTATAATCCCAGCAATTTGAGAAGCTGAGGTGGACACAACATCTTTGTTTATATGTGGTGCTGAGGATCGAACCCGGGCCGCACGCATGCCAGGTGAGCGCGCTACCGCTTGAGCCATACCCCCAGCCCCCCAAAAAATAATTTTTTGATTCATAACTTTGCACCATAAGAATCAACCCAGAATGGTCATAGAGCTAAATATAAAATCTAAAAACTCTGAAATTTTAAGAAACCATAGAATAAAATTATTTTAACTTTTGGTTAGGCAAAGATTTAATAAGAAGTTCAAGGCCAGACTTGGCAACTTGATGAGACTGTTTCAAAAAAATAATTTTGAAACAGGTTTAATTTTAAAAGGGTTGGGAATATAACTCAGTGGTAAGAGTGCCCCTGTGTTCAATCCCTAGTATCAAAATAATTAAATGACAGATTATTAGCCAAAAGTATAAAATGTACAAGTTCATACAGATGAATAAATTTATTGTATAATAAATACACTGAGGGAAGAGGTGATCTTACAGAAGAATTCCAAGAAAGATATAATATAGATGGGTAGGTAGCCCCTCACCAGAAAGCAAAGCTTAAATCCACCCTTCCAAAGGTAGACCAGACTCCGTAACTCCTATCCAAAGAACAGCATATGAAAGACAGAAAATGAGGGGCATTTTAGAAAATACAGAGCTGATAAGGGAAGACTGAAAGACCATCACAGAGAAGAGGATAACTAAAGAGTCCATTATAGCTGAAATCCAAATAAAGTCTGGGGTTTGGTTAATAGTACTAGACTAATGTTGCTCTCTTGGTTGTGACAAAAGTACCTGAGTAATGTAAGATGTTAAGAGTAGGGGGAGACTGAGTAAGGCACATAGGCAACTCTCTACTGTCTTTGCAACTTTCTGTCAGTTCAGATTGATCCTGAACTAAAAACCTTATTTTTAAAAAAATGTTAATTCACAATACTAATAGAATTAATAAGAACTACATCTCAACTATGGAAGAAAAAGCATTTCACAAAATCCCACACCCATTCTTGCCCATCAGGCTCACAGGTGGAAGACTGAACATGTGTGTCCAGCGGTATCCTAGAAGGTCTGCCAACACAGGGTGGGTGGTGGGGGGCAGCCAATCTGTAGAGGATGGAGCAAAGTGGCCCGTATTGGCAGAGCTCATGGCAGTCAACATGGAAGGTCCTATGAAACGACACAGCAGTCACTAGAGTAAGGGAGCCTTACTCTAGTAAGTAAGACACACAGAAATCAATTACTTTCCCCCGTTCCCACAGTGAACAACTACCTTGAAATTAAAACAATAGCATCATTCATAACACTTTCAAGAAACAGAAAATACCTAGGAATAAGTCTAACAGAGGTGTTGGGAGACCTGCATAGTGAGACTCCCAAAATATTGCTGAGATAAAGTAAATTTAAAATGTATCACGTTCATAGATCAAAAGACTTTTTAAGCAGGGCGGGTGCAGTGGCACACGCCTGTAATCCAGCAGCTTATGAGGCTGAGACAGGAGGATCAGGAGTTCTAAGCCAGCTTCAGCAAGGCACTAAGCAACTCAATGAGACCTTATCTCCAAATAAAATACAAAATAGGGCTGGGGATGCGGTGGGGCTCAGTGGCTGAATGCCCCTGAGTTCAATCTCTGATACCAAAAAAAAGACTTTGTTAAGATATCATCTCCAATTTGAGGTCTAGATCCAGTGCAACATAAATCAAAATTACAGAAGGCTTTGGGGTACAGATTGTCAAACTGATTCTAAAATTCACACGGAAATGTAACATATATTGAACAGTCAACAGCTTTGTAAAAACTTGTGGGATGTATAGTACCTAACTCCAGGATTTATTATAAAGCTATGCCAATGAAGACAGTATAGTATTGACCACAAAACAGAACATTATAAGCAGTGGGTCAGAACAGAGAATGCTGAAATAGATTAGCAAAACAAGAAAATTAATTTTTTACACAGGAGCAAAAGGCAGGTTAGTGGAGAAAGGGTATTCTTTTCAGCAAATCCTACTAGATATATACATGCTGGGTTTTTTTTCTTTCTTTCTTTCTTTTTTTTTTCCTGTGGTGCTGGGGAGTGAACTCAGGGCCTTGTGCATGCAAGGCAAGCACTCTACCAACTGAGCTACGTCCCCAGCCGAAAAAATTAATTTTTTTTTTTTTTAGAGAGAGAGAATTTTTAATATTTATTTTTTAGTTTTCAGCGGACACAACATCTTTGTTTGTATGTGGTGCTGAGGATCGAACCCGGGTCGCACGCATGCCAGGAGAGTGCGTTACCGCTTGAGCCACACCCCCTGCCCCCCCAAAA